CTAAAAATACCCTAAGCACTAATAGCATAAAAACATTACGTTGAACAGTAGCACGAACATGAGCATGAGTCTGTGTGAGCAGATGAGCACGCATGAACACATCAACATGAAACAGATCAGCAGCAACATGATGTGATTTTTCACAATGATTGTCCAGGTTAGAGATTCATGAGTCTAACAGCCTCAGGGTAGAAGCTGTTCCTCAGTCTAGTGGTTCTACACATAATGCTCCTCAACCTCCTTCCTGAGGAGAGTGAGACGAAAAGTGTGTGTGCTGGGTGAGTGGGGTCCTTCATGATGCAGGTGGCCCTCTTCCTGCATCTAGAGGTGTGGATGCCTGTGATGGTGGAGAGGCTGACTCCAACAGACTTCTGTGCAGCCTCAGTTTGTGCATCAGTTTTGCATTTCACATTTAATTACAGAAATGTGTTTGATAAAGCAGCATCTAGCTGTAATATTTGCAATGCAGCCTAGTACCCTTCTGATAGGAATATCAGAAGGGTACCATGAAAGACCATATGTCCGTTGGAATAATAATTTACCGTAATCCCAACAGGACTGTGGTATTTGCATTAAGCACAATTTAAATTTTGAGATTCGAGTTATTTTAAGATAATAATTTATTTTTATCTTTGCCCAGTTCTTGTGAATTTGTCCTTCAAAGGGGGTTTATTAAATAAATAAATAAATAAATAAATAAATAAACAAATAAATAAATAAAAGAAGAAAAAGTAAGATCCTCTTGTTCTTTTTATACGTATAGCTTTTAACACTGAATGCTCTTGAAAATACATTTAAAAGAGAGTTTGAGGAAATATATGCAGCCATGTTTTACTACACTGAATGCACATTGACTTGAAGTTGCAGTTTCACTTCTAGAGCCAAAAATTAACGTTTATTTACCGTTTTAAATAAATGTAATTTCTAATTTGCTCAGGTTTTGCCAAAGGAGCAGCAGAAACTGGAGAAAGGAGGGTCAGCAGGTCTTTGTTCTAGTGCTTCATCTTTAGTTTGACAAGACCCTCTTCTTTCACTGGCGCCTGCAAGAGAGATGATGACTTCATTTGTTTTAATGCATCATGAGACTGATTGCATTGTCTGAGACACTGGCTGTTGTGCAATAACAAAAACTGAGAAGAGAAAGAGAGGAAAACAAGAGATATTTAATCATATTTGAAAAGGAGAATTTCAAGTAGTCTAATATCATCCGTCTTTTATTACACTTAATCCTCAATGAAGTAAATGAAAAGCAGAATCACTGGCTTTCTTTTAGCTGTCTTTAAAGATATAGATGTTAAAAATAATGTTTATGAAATTAAACAAAAAGCCAGAACCTTTGCAGATGAACTGTTGGCAAAAACTAAGAGTATGACGGATGATGAAAGTGAATAAAAGAGACATTTTCAAAAGAAAACCAATACAACCAACGTGCCAACAACCACAGTATCTTTTTCCTTGACTGCTTGCTATTATGAAGGAAGACAATAAAACATCCTTGGAGACTTGTTTTTCACCTCTTTTAAAGAAAAGCACCTAACTAGCAGTTTGTCATAACATATGACTTCTGACAGGGAAAACTGGTCAAGTGTATGAAATAATCTCTTGATTAGAAACATTATTTATTGATTTATTTTTTAAAGACTGTCAGTTTTCTGGGTTTGCATTAAACACTAGACTTGTTGGTTGTAAGACACAAAATATTCAGTCTACGATACACGGTAAATCCTTATTTTACATTTGTTACCTTGCTTTAGTTCAAATGTGTGTTTGTGGGAAAATGTAGGCCAGCACCACATCATACAACACTACGCTAAGTTCTTTCCCGTGCACCAGTAAGAAGCACCGCTATCCTGTGCTCAGCTGACCAGGGTCTGTGTTGACGGGAAGGTTAGTGAATCGTTTTAATACAAATGTATTTTTGAAAATACATACTTTGGTCTAACTGCTCACATGTCTTGGAACCAAATGAATAACTTTATTAGCCATATTCTAGTTTTCAGTAATTACCTATATGGAGGCCCTGGCTGCGCTACTCCGAATAAAATCTATTTAAATGAGCAACAAACACAGAGGTGGCGACACCACTGACAACTAGACATAGTGGAAGTGAGCTTGAGTACAATAAGTTGCTACATCTTTTCCTAAAATCATACTTTGTGAGGACTAAAATAGTCTTTTTTTTAATTCTCCACTTAATCTACCAAACACCCCAATTGCCTGTGGATAAGAGTGAGGTCTAAGAGACACAAAAAATCTGTGAGTGTGGATTGAGCCTGAGCATAAGACTGGATGATAAATGACATATTTGTACCTTGTAGAAAAGTGACATCATTTTCACATGTGAGATTAAATCAAAACTTCTTCAGCAGCCTGATAAAATGTTTGAGCAACAATTAGATATTAAGTTTTGATCAAACAGTACTGTGTAGATGTGTTACTTAAACTAGATTCTTTTAATTTGACAAATATAAATTTTAAGTAATGTACAGTAGTCCCTCGCTACTTGGCGGTTCATTTGTTGCGGACTCGCTTTATTACAGTTTTTCAAAGTAAGATTGGACATGACACAATTGGCTGATTGAAGGATGAGCCGCACGATAGGCATGGATTTTTATTTATAATAAATTATTTTCAATTATTTAGCATCTGCAACACCTGTCTGCAGCCCACAGCTGCAGAAGACGCTTCCTTCTGCAGCATGTCAGATCTCTACTCTGCAGCAGAGAAGTTACGCCTTACATATATATGTAAGGTGTTTTAAACCCTTCCCACACTCTTGCAATGTCCCTAACTTCTCTGCTGCAGAGTATATATATATATATATATATATATATATATATATATGTGACGTTGGTCCACCCTTTGCAGCTAGAACAACTTCAACTCTTTAGGAGTGTTTATGGGGATTTTTGACCATTCTTCCAGAAGAGCATTTGTGAGGTCACATACTGATGTTGGGCAAGAAGGCCTGGCTCTCAGTCTCCGCTCTAATTCATCCCAAAGGTGTTCTATTGGGTTGAGGTCAGGACTCTGTGCAGGCCAGTCCAGTTCATCCACACCAGACTCTGCCATCCATGTCTTCATGGACCTTGCTTTGTGCACTGGTGCACAGTCATGTTGGAAGAGGAATGGGCCAGCTCCAAACTGTTCCCTCAAAGTTGGGAGCATGGAATTGTCCAAAATGTCTTGGTATGCTGAAGCAATCAGAGTTCCTTTCACTGGAACTAAGGGGCCAAGCCCAGCTCCTGAAAAAACAACCCCACACCTTAATCCCCCCTCCACCAAACTTTACACTTGGCACAGTGCAGTCAGGCAAGTACCGTTCTCCTGGCAACTGCCAAACCCAGACTCGTCCATCAGATTGCCAGATGGAGAAGCGTGATTCGTCACTCCAGAGAATGCGCCCCCACTGCTCTAGAGTCCAGTGGCGGTGTTCTTTACACCACTGCATCCAACGCTTTGCATTGCACTTGGTGATGTATGGCTCGGATGCAGCTGCTCAAACATAGAAACCCATTCCATGAAGCTCTCTGCGCACTGTTCTGGAGCAAATCTGAAGGCCACATGAAGTTTGGAGGTGTCTGTAGTGACAGACCCTGCAGAAAGTTGATGACCTCTTCGCACTACGCACTTCAACCGCTGACCCCGCTCCGTCAGTTTACGTGGTCTACCACTTCATGGCTGACATTCCCAAACACTTCCATTTTCTTATAATACAGCTGACAGTTGACCGTGGAATATTTAGGAGCGAGGAAATTTCACGACTGGATTTGTTGCATAGGTGGCATCCTGTCAGTTCCACAATGGAATTCACTGAGCTCCCGAGAGCGACCCGTTCTTTCACAAATGTTTGTAGAAACAGTCTTCATGCCTAGGTGCTTCAATTTATACACCTGTGGCCATGGAAGTGATTGGAACACCTGATTCTGATCATTTGGATGGGTGAGCAAATACTTGTGGCAATGTAGTGTATAAAATAAACTACTACTGCTTGTGTACATAATTTTGTTCCATCTTATGTACCACATGAGATGGTAATGACAAAGTTTACATGAACTTGGACTACTTTATCCCTACTTCGCAGTTTTTCAATGATTGTGTGTGTGTGTGTGTGTGTTGGGGGTCCCAATCCCCCGCAATAAATGAGGGACTACTGTTATGTCATTCCTATGTTATTAAAAGTAATTAGAGCACAATATTAGGCATCAAGCTAAAAAGTTTTTGCTTTGGACCAATCAGACCAAGTCTGTGTTGTATAGCAGTGACCCTCTATGAATTTAGACCATCAGTTTTACAAAAAGTGTTGCAAATTTTTCATTTGAAAGCGCAGACATCAATAGTGAGTTTTCCTCAAAGGTAAATATATTTTGTACTTGTGCTGGCTTGGCTGGTTTCATAACCCAATCCTTAAAATCCACTTAAATACGCTTAACGAATGTCTATCAAACACAAACCGTGCTTAACTATATATATATATATATTTTTTTTTTTACTTCTGGTTGAGATGGTCATCAGTCCTCTACATGTGATAAAAGAAATACAGCATAAGGCAATGTGTGTGTGATCCTACTGGAGTCACATTCTAGCTTCATTAGCTGTGATGTGGTGTGCCGCAGTGACAATAATTCATCCTCCTCTTCCTTTAGAGGCAGCTCTGCTCATCTTTCAACAGACTCACAACCAAACTCATTAAAGAGACCCTGGCCAATGAGAAAAAGCAGGTTAGCTGGTTAGAGGAGCTCATCATTCAGTGGAAACAAGAAGAATCAGGTGTAAAATTATCCAAAGGCAGCACCCAACAGAAGCAGGACTTCACTTAAAGCAAAAGCAGGCAAACATATTTCTAATATTTTATTTCTCAGAGTGGGAAATATTGAAAAATTCAGCTTAAAACAGCACAGATGGGATAAAAATAGAAATACTTTGATCATCCTTAAGCTGCACATTGTGCCAATAACTACCCAAAAGGCAAAAACCTTGAATGTTGTGCGTCTGCTGGTTGGGTTCAAAACAGCTGCACAAAAATGCTCTTTCATCTCAAACACCATCAATTTTCCCAGACCAAAACAAATATATAAAAGAAAATAAAGGTCCTACATGCATGCAGATGATAGATCAAAAAGAGCAAAGTTTTGGTGCAGAATCTTTATTAAAACCACAGTAAAAACTGATGTGACAGGCGCTGAACGTCGGTCATTTTTTCCACAATGGAGGTTTTCACAGCTTCACTGAGAGCTCTTGTGTGCAGTCACCTGTGCTCTCATCTTTAAAGGTGTCTGCAGGTGTCATATCGAAGTAGCTTATGTGCTGAAATTTTAGCACCTCATTGCCCCAACTTGTCCATCCGGGCTGAAGACTCCGTGCAAAAAGTTCCAAACATTTCGCCTCAGCTCCGACGTAAGGCTTCAGCACCTCTGTGATAAAAGAAAATGAGAAGAATGGATGATTACGATAAGGCTGTGTGCAAGGTATTCAAACATCTTTCCTGTTTGGAAAAAAAAACAAATAAGCTACAAAATATTTTATCTGGAGACCAAATCCTCAACTATAATTATCCAAAACATATTAGATTGACTGGTGATCCTAAAATAGGCGGAGATTGTGGGAGTTTGATCGCCTACGAGGTACAGAGATGCTCCAGACAACACAATTTCAGGAACAGAACCTGTTAGAGCCCGAGTGTCAACGCTTAAAATAAAACAGCTCAGTTGTATTCGATTCTGACATTAATAAAGTTCCCTGGTCCCTCCTACTTTAGATGAAATCAGGATGCCTCCCTGTTGTGCAGGTCCACTGACACTCTTCACACCCACAATGTAACACCACACGGTTGTTAAAAAAGGCTGCAGGTTAGGAAACTCCAACTAGAGGAATATAAGCTTGGCTCAAGGTTTATTTATTGCATGCAGACATTAAAGTAATATGAGGAGTAGAGTTTTTGCACAATAATTCAATTTTTGTTTAAGCACTTTTATTAAATGATAGTGTGCTAGGCTATTACAGTGGCGATTTTAGCTTCTTTTTGGGGGTGCTTAAATTTTAACTCAGCACCTCTGAAAAAAAAAAAAATCATTAGGATTTTGCAAGGAAACTCAGTTCTCAAACTTTAGATTCACTCAAATATTGAATAAATTTGGAATAAATATTGAATAATTGATGACAATCTTAAAACGGGCCAGTAAAATCTGATTTTTTTTTATGTCGGATCCTTGACGCCACCTGTCAATCAGTTCAGCAGGGTTGTCAACAACTGACCAATCAGTGAGCACAATTTGTTCCAAAGGTAAACACCCATTACCAGCAGTAGCTCCACCCCCTTTTATAAATCTTTGTTGGGTTTTTGCGTTGCGAACACTTTGCGGTCAGAGGGATTTTGTGAAAAATCATCGGAAAAAATGGTTAAATGCTGTCAGGGGAGAACATGTAATTCATACAGCGTTATCCTGACAGTTTAGACAGTGGAATACAGTTTATTCCATTTCCAAAACTAAACCAAGTCAGGAAAATTGTAAAAGATGGAAAAAGCCCTATGGCCAACCTCATGAGCAGCTGAAAACAACAGTGATAAACAGAAAGTACCACATGTTCATCTATACAAAGGTAACTGTAAGTAAATCCTCCTTTTCTGTCATAATTACATTGTATGTTTAGTGTTTAAATTAAATGTTGATGCTTAAAGCTAGTTATGGTTTGTTTTGTATGTTGTTTAAATTTATACAGCTATGATGCAACCTCTGGTTGCATAAGTTTAGTCTTTGTTTGTTACGATCTGTTAAACTAAACTAATTTTGAACAAATCGTTTAGTATGTTGTGTAATGTAAAGCAGAGCGCTACGTTTGTAGCATCTTAGCTAGCACGTCTGTATTGTGTGTTGCTAGCTTAGCGCTACGTCAGTGCCGGCAGTTGGGTTAGGATGCGAGAGAAGTGGAGTGTGCTGTATACACACAAGGAGAGCTGTTGGTCAGGCTACTTCTTGTTGCTCTCTAAAATACCGTAGTTATTGAATCAAGTGTTTATACTTATGTAGGTAAACGTAGATGTTTAAAAACCCATTAAAATACACCAGAATGCAGGAAATGTCATCTGATTTAATCAAAAATTTCTGGGGGAAGATCCCCAGACCCCCCCGCCCACACACCAGTGTGCACCCTGCCTTTACAAATGCTTGTGATGCCAATGGCCACTTAATTGTTCAAGCCAAAAGCCATTGTCAACACTGGGGGCTAAGCACCCCAAAAGGTCAGATTCTAGAATCGCCCCCGCTTGATTATAATAATCTGGTATTTGGCAGGTGCTAATGTCCAATCAACTATGCCTCCCTAATTGCAAATGTTTTCTCTTTATTTGTCATTTGGATATCCTGTAATAAGCAGAAGACAGACGTGGCAGCTGCCCAGGTCCTTCACACCACAGAGCAGATTTATCTGCAGAGACTGGCGGTGACCTTGACTTTATAAGTGCTAATATTCCAGGAGAGGCACACCTGACAGATACGTTTCACTTCCTCTGCTGCTGTGCTACCCTGACATTCGGCTCAGCCGACACTCAGGGAGTTAATGAGCTCAAAAGTCTGATCCCAAAACCGATCGAACTTTTACAAGTACTGTAAAAGTCCTCGTTTTTTTTCTTCTTCTTTTTATATCCGTCACTGAGGGAGAGTCGCAGTGTGGAAAGGCCAAACATATAGCTACACAACTAATTCATCTTCAAGTGGTGACTCAGCTCTGGAGCTGAGACGCGAATAAAGGTTTAATTATCTTCTTAACTTTGAAACGGAAGTGTCAAAGTTCTGTCAAGAACACACACACACACACACACACACACACACACACAAAGAAACAAAAAAAATCACTGCTAAAACTATTTCTGACACATTTTAACTTGGTGGTACGTAAACATTTTGCCATTAAAAGATACTTCTGTGATTACTGTAGAGAGACAAAGTCACCACATACAGGTCCTTCTCAAAAAATTATCATATTGTGTTAAAGGTCATTATTTTCCATAATGTAATGATAAAAATGAAACTTTCATATATTTCAGATTCATTGCACACCAACTGAAATATTTCAGGTCTTTAATTGTTTTAATACTGATGATTATGGCATACAGCTCATGAAAACCCAAAATGCCTGTCCCAAAAAATTAGCATATTTCATCCCACCAATGAAAGACAAGTGTTTTTAATACAAAAAACACCAACCTTCAAATAATCATGTTCAGTTATGCACTCAATACTTGGTCGGGAATCCTTTTGCATGAATGACTGATTCAATGCGGCGTGGCATGGAGGCAATCAGCCTGTGGCACTGCTGAGGTGTTATGGAGGCCCAGGATGCTTCGATAGCGGCCTTAAGCTCATCCAGAGTGTTGGGTCTTGCGTCTCTCAACTTTCTCTTCACAATATCCCACAGGTTCTCTATGGGGTTCAGGTCAGGAGAGTTGGCAGGCCCATTGAGCACAGTAATACCATGGTCAGTAAACCATTTACCAGTGGTTTTGGCACTGTGAGCAGGTGCCAGGTCGTGCTGAAAAATGAAATCTTCATCTCCATAAAGCTTTTCAGCAGATGGAAGCATGAAGTGCTCCAAAATCTCCTGATAGCTAGCTGCATTGACCCTGCGCTTGATAAAACACAGTGGACCAACACCAGCAGCTGACATGGCACCCCAGACCATCACTGACTGTGGGTGCTTCACACTGGACTTCTGGCATTTTGGCATTTCCTTCTCCCCAGTCTTCCTTCAGACTCTGGCACCTTGATTTCTGAATGACATGCAAAATTTGCTTTCATCCGAAAAAAGTACTTTGGACCACTGAGCAACAGTCCAGTGCTGCTTCTCTGTAGCCCAGGTCAGGCGCTTCTGCCGCTGTTTCTGGTTCAAAAGTGGCTTGACCTGGGGAATGCGGCACCTGTAGCCCATTTCCTGCACACGCCTGTGCACGGTGGCTCTGGATGTTTCTACTCCAGACTCAGTCCACTGCTTCCGCAGGTCCCCCAAGGTCTGGAATCGGCCCTTCTCCACAATCCTCCTCAGGGTCCGGTCACCTCTTCTCATTGTGCAGCGTTTTCTGCCACACTTTTCCCTTCCCACAGACTTCCCACTGAGGTGCCTTGATACAGCACTCTGGGAACAGCCTATTCGTTCAGCAATTTCTTTCTGTGTCTTACCCTCTTGCTTGAGGGTGTCAGTGATGGCCTTCTGGACAGCAGTCAGGTCGGCAGTCTTACCCATGATTGCGGTTTTGAGTAATGAACAAGGCTGGGAGTTTTTAAAAGCCTCGGGAATCTTTTGCAGGTGTTTAGAGTTACGTCGTTGATTCAGATGGTTAGGTTAATAGCTTGTTTAGAGAACCTTTTCATGATATGCTAATTTTTTGGGACAGGCATTTTGGGTTTTCATGAGCTGTATGCCATAATCATCAGTATTAAAACAATTAAAGACCTGAAATATTTCAGTTGGTGTGCAATGAATCTGAAATATATGAAAGTTTCATTTTTATCATTACATTATGGAAAATGATGACCTTTATCACAATATGCTAATTTTTTTAGAAGGACCTGTAAATGCAAAGACCTAATGATATAAAATGATTTACACTATACAATCCATGTACCATCTCTATCAAATGGTGCTGGTTCATTAAATTTATCAAAATAAAAGCTCAAGGAAGTGTGAATCTGTTTTGCAAAATTAAAAAAAAAGTATGTGAATTTGGAAACAAGCAAAATACTTATCAGTCAGGATGAATAAGGAGGCAAAGAGGAAAAAAGTTGTAATTTGTAAAGCAAATCTGAAGGAATTTTAAAAGTATCTAATAGTAAATATGAAGACAACTCTGTCTCATCAGCTGGATTTAAACAGTTTGTGTAAAGTGGACAGATCGAGGTGGTAAAAGTTGTAAATCACCAGTTGTTAACGTAAAACAAAATCGTGCAAAACTGCAAATAATAAAATCCACTGTGAGGAGGAAAACAAAGAAAGGTTTTCTTCAGGAATTATTTTGAATTTAAGACCTAATCTGTCAGGCTAACTTATTTTAACCTTGCTTGACAACATTCAAAACAGTTTTCATTCTCTAAAACCTCATCGTGGTCATCTTTCTCAAGACAAAAACCATACCAAGTGAGAGCATAAATGTTTTGTTTCGCCAATTAATTAATTTTTTTTTTCTTATTCCAGTATTCATTTGGACACTCACAGCTGGATACACGATGGATTCCTGGGGGCAGTGGAAGATCTTGTGTCTGTCAGTATTGTCAGTTGAGGATGCAGAAGATGCGTACATAATTGGATTTATGAGAACAGGATTTCTGCTTTTTGGAGTTGGCGGTTACATGGCATATCGACAAATGCGGAAAACGTTGGCAGCTGTTCTGGCCATTGAGAGGCCATTGCCTGGCTTGTGTGA